CTATACCTCGAGAAACCAATCAAAATCAATATATCCAGTGTTAAATATAGGTATGAATTTAAAACACTATCATGGATCGTTGCTGGATACCCTGATTTTGATCACACCTTGTATTTTGTAAAGGTTAAATGATTATTTTCTGGTGTAGTAATTTTTAATGGTCAGGATATTAGAGTTAGGAGTGTTAGATCCATGAGCTAAAGGTTAAGTTTGCTGTTAGGAGTTAAAATTCAGTTGGATCACGGTAACATAATTGTCCGCTTAATGTATCAAGCTATAACTCTTAATCCACTGTTATCTTATCATGCTTTTTAAGTTTAAAACTCCATAAAATCTGCGTACTACTTCATTACTTCCTGACTTTTAAGATCGCTGAAAGCCATCAATATGGAATAAATTACCGAATCATTTAACAAATTTCCATATCAATTCAAATAAACAAAGATAAATATTTCTTTAAAGTGAATGGAACATTTCGTAGAGTAATAAGAACTGATTAGCAGAATGTCATTTATTCTACAATGTTAGTGTGATCATTGCTTGAACATGTATTGATGAGTATTTAGTAGACTGATACCGGAAGACACTTTTAGACAAAATAATCTGATAACGAAACATATATTTCATGAATACAATAAACCATACAGATAAACAATGTACTGAATATATATAATTTCTTCTACTCTAAAATGTAGACATTTCCAATTTCTTGCTCAATCATACAAAATTCAATTTGTTTATCGTTTTTTTTTTCAAACAAATAACAGTATATTCTTTGTTCGATTATAGTTATTGAGTATGAAGTTATTGAGGTTGTTGAAATCATAAACCGATCTAAATTTGGAAATGTTAAACCCTTGACAAGATAATGACTTAGTATTGTTAAATAGTTTTATACTACAATAAAAACAATTCATTAATGCATGATTAAGTTTTTCATAATTATCTTATTAGATTAGTTCATAATCTCTATAAAATAAGTTTTCAATTACTAAATGAAGATCAAAGTATAATTTCTATAAGTTATACCATATATTTTATACAAATTGACGAATTAATAAGAACATATTATTTGGTTACAAGGCAAACATACATAATCATATACCAAACAATTTGTCCTAAATTTCATATATACAGTAAACAAAACTATATTGTGAATGCATGAAATTTTTTTTCAAAAACTTAATCATAATAATCAGTGAAATAATGAAAAATCTAAGAAAAGAAAGAAAGAAATACAAAAAAAAAAACACACAACACAACTGTTTATGCAAATGATTCAATGTGAGTGACGTGAATCGGTATGGAAAAAAAAAAGAAATAAATAAATAACCATTATCCTTTATTTTTTGTATTTTTAAATGAAATCAATCGTATACAATTTTGATTGATAAATTAAATAATGATTATCCTTATTTTCAATGAATCGTAATAAACTATCCAATGTAAAACGACCATAATAAACAAATAAATGTATATATAAGTATATATATGTATATATATTCGTTTACATATATATATATATATATATATATATATCATTATCATTGATAAACATCCTTTAGGGATAGGCTTTTTTTTCTTGTATATTTTTTTTCTGTTGAATATTCACAAATAAATAAATCTATTAACAACTAATTCATTGGTGTATTAACTTCTATTAATTGACTGTCATTAATTTATTCATGTAACATCGAGTTAAATTGTAATTAACACGATTAAAGTAATATATTTTATAATGATGAATAGGGAAAAAAATGTTTGTAAAATGATTATAATAGTTTAAATACAATAAAACATATCAAGTTTATATTATCAATATAAAAGTGTATCATTTATGATAATAATAATAATGAGTTATATAATGTAATTAAATCAATAAGGAAACAAAAAGCCGAATAATAATAAATTAATAGAATTAAAAAAAAAGCAAGTTAGTTAATAGTTATTCATTTTCTAAATTGAAATTGTAATGAATATTGAAGTGAATTAAATAATAAATAAAAAGTATATACCGAGTTAGTTAATTTGAATTTTTATTTTAACTAATAATTTATATGATTTAAAATAGCCTTTCTCTTAGATGTAGAGTTCGAATCCCGTGAGGTACGGGATTGTGGATGCGTACTGCTGAAAAATGCCATACTAGGACGAAACGGCCGTATAGTGCTTCCATGTTTTCCATAGTGATCTAGCTTCAATTGACTCATGATTTCAATCAGTGAAATTTCTATTTAAAAAATCTCCACAAAACCCATTCTGATAATAATCAACTGCTCACTAGTGACTGACTTCAGGAGATACTCCTGGAGTTCTAGTGAGAAGTCGTTACCAGTAGAGTTGTGAGATATCAGCTCACTGAAGACAATAGTGTACGGTGGCGCAACTTCGTTATTTAATTAATTATTATAAAAATATTTCATTAGTTTTTATTGTAATTATATACTTGTTAAAAATATATACATATTTATAAATGAAATTGTATTATATTAAATATGAATTGTTATTAAATTCCTTGGTATTATTTGGCTTGTATCTTCCGATAGAGATTTAACACTGCAACTGATCAGTCTGTTATCGGCATATGTGCATACTGTGCGTATTACCTCGATATTGGCTGGATTCACAAGCTTTTTGTAAGCAATAATGGATAGTGGCTAGCAGTGAAATATAGGACGCGCGTTTCATCTTATTTGGGACTCGTCAGCTGGATGTACCTGCATCTCAGAGTTGATGTTCACTCTGGGACTCGAACCCAGTACCATTTGCTTCAAACGCCATCGCCTCATCCACTTAGCTACTGAGTCCTGATAGCCACTTGTTTGTGCAACGGAGTGAATTTCAATTCGCTTGGTATTATTTGGCTTGTATCTTCCGATTGAGGTTTAAGACTGCAATTGATCAGTCTGTTATCGGCATATGTGCATACTGTGCGTATTACCTCGATATTGGCTTGATTCACAAGCTTTTTGTAAGCAATGATCCACTCTGGGATTCGAGTCCCAGAGTGAACATCAACTCTGAGATGCAGGTACATCCAACTGACGAGTCCCAAATAGGATGAAACGCGCGTCAAACTGGATTCCATTGCTAGCCACTATCCATCATTGAATTGTTATTAGTTACAATATATATATTCTTGTATTTTTATATTAACAAAACTCACTGTATAGTAATTATATTCTTTATGTATTTGTGATTGAACAGTTTAAATTTGATCTAATTATTTTATCAGTCAACTAGTTCATATCATTAAATTGAGCTATAGATACTAGAATAAATCATTCATGGTAACTTTCATTTATATATAAATATTCTAAATGAAATAGTGAGAAATGATCAAAATAAAATATGATTAGCAAATATTTTGTTTTAAATTTTATGATCTCAAAAGCTAAATTTCAATAAGAATTATACGCTAGTTTTCCTAAATTTTCTATTTAACTATGGAAAACAGTTGTTTATGAGTAAGTATTTATATTTTTGGGCGTCGGTATTTGTTGCTGATAAACAATTGTAGTAAGTCAACATGAATGAGATTGTGTGTTAGTAGAAATTGACTAAAAATTCTGTCCAGCTTTCTGTTTGTTTGAGGCTTTAAAATAATTATTTCATCAGCACACTAGTTTTACGATATACTCATTCAATTTACCCCATAACAGTAGCTGTGACCTATGGATTTTATTACATCTTGTTGTAATTCTGTTGAGGTAAGACAAATCGGTTCACGTTTTCAAAAGCAATAAAACACCTACATGGAAAAACTTACATTTACATTGGACATTGAAGATACAATTCAAAAACAGACCATCTTTAGAGACGGTTTTTGATGTAAATTAACTTACTCATCATAAAAATAAAGTTAGGCTGTAAAATGTTATGGTTGGTAAGCAAGGTATACTTTACTTAGAAAAAACATTTGCGTCGCAAAACTTCCCGCTTACACTTCTGATTTTATTTATCTCCCTATGTTGTGAATCTTCTCAAAGCTATTGCCTTCTCTTTGCCATATGTAAAAACGATGAGATGCCATAATATAATTACCAAAGTCGGAAGCGTAGTTTTATCATGACAAGAAAGTCGAGTACTATCCTGACTATAAGCTAAGACGTCAAATGTTCAGTGAAATTTCGTAGGTGTAGTATACACACACTGACAAAAAACATTATGCATCAATATTTGAAAATAATTCACAATGAATTCCTTCTATTCATAACCTGAACAGAAGTCGACAATGAGCGTGTCCCAACGGTTGTGTAGTCCAGATTTATTTTTGACCTTATTTATTTCAAATAGTTTTGATAATCTCACTGAGGCTTAGGTCCCACTGACCAGCAAAACGTTACAAGCGTTTAACTTCAACTCCAGAGATCCTATAAATATCTAATAGCTATAATCTATTTGTCATTGGTATGTTTAACATTAACTATAAAATAAGGGTTGTAGAGAATTCATTGTACACAACTTTTATTTTCAAAAACACCTGTACAGTTTGATATACTGTGTTGAGACTAACCTGATAGATGTTTACATTTTGTCATAAAATTGCTCCTGATAATTAAAAATATATGAGTTTAGATTGCAAAATGTCCTTTATTAGACAATTGTTGAAAACCTGGAAGTATTGAACAGCCATGTCGTCCTAATATGTGTCTATTATAAGTATATGGGAATATAAATAGTAAACAGAACATAGATCTCGGAGACCAAATTGTTAATGAGCACTAATGAAGAGTCCCATATTAGGACAAAACGGCCATCCAGTTCTTCCGGATTTTCAAATAATGATCTGACAATGAAAGGTTTGTGATTCAAATTATAAAAATTGAAAACGTACTCAAAAGAATTGGAAAAACTGCTAAACTCTTGATTTTAATAAAATCATAATAAAAACAGCGGCTTCGGCTTCAAATTAAGAAATATATAACGATAATAATCTAACACACGATACTTAATTTACCCCATTCCCTATCAAGCATCAGTTTTAAAAGAAATAAATTATTTGAAATAATTTTATATCAAAATCAACAACACCAAAATGATGTGTAATGATGAATGAGTTTGATGAGATGATTTAATTCTCCATGTGGTGCAAAGCATAGAAAGCTCCTTTCTTAGCGAGCAGTGCTGCTGGAGGTCCTGACTCTATCTTTCGTTCATCCCGCAAAACTACTACCAAGTCAGCATTGACGACTGTAGACAGGCGATGAGCAACAACTAATGATGTTCTCGTTCCCATAGCAGCATCAAGGGCTTCTTGAACTATCCGCTCACTCTCATTGTCCAAAGCTGAAGTAGCTTCGTCCAACAGAAGTAGAGCAGGTTTACGAATTAAAGCTCGTGCAATGGCTATCCTCTGTTTCTGTCCTCCAGATAACTTTGATCCACGTTGTCCAACTTTGGTTTCATATTGCTTAAAAACAGTAGAAGTTATAAACAGTTATTCAATATATTTGAAAATATTCGTAACAATTCGAATAACATAAAAGCTGACAATAAAATGAAAATATAAACCTGAAGCGTAATTTTTAGTGAGTTTAACAAACCGAATATTTTCACTCACTTCTGGAGTGTTGTAATAAAATCATGGATGCTAGCTGCACGTGCTGCCTCAATAATCTCTTCCATCGTCACTTCTCGACTATTGTCTCCATACGCAATATTCTCTCTTATCGTGAGATCGAATAAAGTGGGTTCTTGTGAAACAAGACCAATCTGTTTTCTAACCCAACTAGGTGCAATATCTCTAATATTCATATCATCGAAAAACACACCAGTATCGGGACCGTGATATGTTGGATCGTAGAATCTCAATACTAACTGAAGCAATGTTGATTTACCACAACCAGAAGGTCCAACTAATGCGACTGTTTGACCAGGCTCAATAGTGTGTGAAAAGTTCTGAAAAATGCAGAAAATTTTCAAAAACTCATTAGGTAAGTAAACGACAGGTATATTACAAATAGCTATTAAAAAACAGGATCATATAATCTTGAGAATCCGAAATTGGTTGTCTTAAGTATATACAAATCTAATCAACAATCTGATCAGTGCTTAAAGTGAGATGCTTTTTAACGTAAATCCTTAGAATCATTTTGTTATTTATATCAGTGTCTAATATTGACATTTGATATAATTATCCTCTCAAACGCAGTGTTCTGTGGTGGTGGTGTTTTGCAAACTGTCAAAAATTACTGTCTCCTGAATACAGCATGTTGTTTAGTGCAAAGTGTAGTAATGTCAAGTACAGTAATAGTTGTATTTTATTACTGGAATTTTCATCACATACAATTCGGATCAGTGGTTTAGTCGCTTAAGAAAGTTTTTAAAATTATTAATTAAACCTATTATGAATATTAATTCAGTCTTCATGCAGAGTAACTACGTTAACATATAAAAATTTCTATAATATTGCTTTTAAGTGATTTGCTACTTAACTCTATTGTAGTGTGGATAAATTAATTCGTTTGCATTCAGTATGGTTGTATTCGAAAGACATATCTTTTTAGTAGATTGAGATTCTCATTTAACAAAAACTACGAATTTATCTTATTCCTATCTCTTTTGTTTACATGATGATCTAGTTTGAACTAAACATGTTCAGAGCCTCTGAACAGTGATTAGAACAAATTCAATTCGAACGAAAATAAATTTCTGTAACACTGTATTATTGTTCCTCACTTACTACATTAACTTACCTTAAGAACCCGTCTCTCAGTTTGAGAAAAATATTTGAAATCAACGTTCTTGAACGAAATTTTCCCTTTGAATTTTTCACGTGGTACACTCCCTATATTAGTTGAATAAGAGGTTTCCTGTCTAGAATTTCAAGAATACATTTCGCAGCTGAACCTGCTGCTTTAGTACCCAAAACTAGTGTAGCTGTACGGCCAAGAGATTGAGCACTCAAATGGATAGTTACGAAAACCCTTTTAATTGAAATGTCATAATATAATATAATCAAAGTGATTGCATCGAGTTTCTGAGACAAATGCTTGATAAAATATTTATGGAATTTAACAAGGAAAACGTCTAAAAACTATGACACATTTTCACTGATATTTACCATAATTAGGTAATTGCCAAGTGATTGGAATATTCTGATCCGATTACGGTATTAAAATACACATTTTTAAAACACTACCCAGGATTTTGGGTGGTAAGGCAGTAGAACAGGAATTGTGTGCGATCATAAATAAAATACAAAACATTTCAGTTAGTTTTTTTTGTATACCACCCTAATGATTGTTTAGTGCTGCTATTTATACTTCATCCTTGTATCGTAGTATAATTTCGACGTTTTTCTATGGTATTCTAAACCTGGAGAAATGAAAAGTTACCTTAAGGTTAATAAAATTCATGTCACATTTTCCAAAAATATCTTTAAATGAAGCTATGTATGTTTGGTTATCCAACTTGATGTTCAGATTTAGTTCAGTGTAGTTTTCTGTAAACCACACATACTACATGAATGCTAGTGATATTATCGCAGTAGGTAGTGTACTGGTCAATAATTAAACATCGTGATGAAAATTATTAAGATTAAACCTCTTAATTGGAACTTTTAGTATTCAAACTAAAAGCAACCTCTGATGTACTCTTCCATATATTTACTCAGAATCATTACCAGTGACGGTTCTTAGATTTACACACACATGTGAAATTTAGGCCTGTTAATATCCGTCCAATATAATATTAGCATATTGTTTGTAAATCTTATCATATATATTAAACAGTTTATCATTTCAAAGTAGACTATTTTAGTAATGATAACTCATTTTAATTTTTTTCACAAAAGATGCATCCAAAAGATTTTGTTTCTAACATTTTTTAAAGAGTAACTATTCGATAAATTATTCATTTTGATTTCATAACAGAAAAACACTGTAGAAACCTACAAAATTCCTAATCATATTTGGTTCTGGCTTTAAAATGTCACAATTCACATGCATGATATTTCATAGTGTGTGGTGTTTGGTTCTATGTCAAAACAATATGGGTTATTCTAGCTACAGACTGACTTATCCACTCTTTCCAAGTCATATTTTGACATTGTTAATTATTCGCTTATCAATCTTGACTATTTTCATACGAGCGTATATGTGTTAATTGCTCACCGTATTCATTATGCGTCAGAAACTTTTTGTCTGACTACAAATATCGAGTCACGCTTTATTAAAATAAGTTGGCCCACTCGCTTTCTCCACTCCGCTTTGCTTCAATTTCCGCTTTCTAATCTGAATGTCCGCCTAGATAAACGAATGCTTGAAATGAATTCTTTCAACGCAAACCGTGTTTGGCTTCTTATTACCACCGTCAAACAAATCAGAGTGAGATCAACAGACTACAAACAGTGTTTAGAAGCTTGCAAATCGAAAATATCAGAACAACAAAGATTCATTAGAAGGACAAGTGTTCAAATGGTGGGATTTCCCTTATTCATTAAAATTACTTCTATTCACTGGTGATTTATGATGTTCCTTTAACATTTGCATCACTTCTTAACCTTTCTGACATACTGAAAACTTAAAAATACGTTGTGATCCGATCTCTTTCCTTTGATTATCAGCAAATAACCACAAATATAATTCGGTAAATAGTATAGTCGGAAAGAAATATTTTCAGACGAATTTTCTTCGTCTCTTCAATGGTATAACGGGGTCACTTTCGCTGCTTGAAAATTAATTAAATGAATCTTTAGCTGAGTAGTAGCTTAAACGCTGTTGAGTGATTCGTAGAAGTTGTAATACTTTGTCGATGAAGTTTCTAATACGTCTAATAATTTAAGTGGATTAGTACTCTGGTCTAGTTTACCAGATCTCAAACATTTTAAGGTAATAAAATAATATCGCAGACTTAAGTATGAGGATTCTGGTACACGTAGACAATTGAGAGGACTTGGTCTCTTTTAAAAATGAGTCTGCAATGAACCTAAATAAATCTGTTATAATGCCTTTCAATTGGGCGTTAACTTATTCCTGGCTTCAGGATACCATTAGCGAAGTAGATTAACAACCAATAAACTGAAGTTAAGGAGTTCATGCTTCTTAATCAGTTATTTTTCTTTATTTTAAATGAATGCGAATCATGAAGTACACAAATATTAAAGGAATAACCCATAATTTTCTAACTTCTTTTGGCAACGTGAATACTTGGCTAAAAAAAGCGGACCAACGTTCGGAGTTAGAGTTGGTATTTAAGCATGAATACATATTTCAGTGAATTAGTGAGCTTGTGGTCTCATAAACTAGAATAGGGACCAATATTCATCAAGTGTTATGCATTAGGATGGCTCATATCTCAAGTCTCATTTTTCATTCATTCAGTTGAATGAATAGCATACTTTCTTGCTTTCGTTGAAACTCATAATGACAAGATAACTAATGTGATAACTGAATAGTGGGATACTTTGCGCTTCCTTCGTGCACTGCTGAATTATAGTGTAAAAATCAACAAAACGTGAAATAATTACATTCAATACTCTAATATTCATAAAGGTAACTGATCTGAATTGAAAATGAAACAATTTACCTGAACACTGCTAAAACCGTTACTGCTTTTGTTGAAACCAAGTGTGCACCGAGTGAATACGCAGCAGCTACTGCGAACAACAATACACTTTCTGCAATAGCGTACATAATAGCATTTAAAAATATCGTTTTCAAGTTATTTCTTAGGAAAAAAAACAGAAAAAGAAGATTTATACATAAAATCTTCACTTGAGGTTATCAATCAGATTTCGGCAAGATGTAAATCCTTACAGATAAACTATGCTTTATTCCCGCCGAAGTAGTCCGAATTCATTTGAACTCAGTAGTTCAGTAGGAAATGAGTTTGAGTCAAGTACGAATTCTCGAAAATGTACACAAGTACATACAACTACCTAGTCTCAAATAGAAATAAACACATGTACCTTTATCCACTGATAGTTAATATCCACCCCTTCTATATGTTTATGTAAATTTTTTTTATGATAATTAGTAATCAGTATAGAATAACTACTCTCACACTATGTATAAATATCCTGCACCTGAACATAATATGACTTCATTTTAAGTAAATAAGACACTATAACAAAGCAACAAAATCATTACAAAAGTGATTGAATATTTGTTGAAAATCATAGTGAAATGTTTACATTTTTTTGGAAACTTGTTTGAAAATAAGTTGTTCTGAGCAAAATAAATTATTATTGTTTTTTTCATTGAGTACTCAATCTTAGAATACATCATGAACTTCAGACAAACTGAAAGAATAATAACACTGAATCAAATGAATATTCCCGGGGATAATTGTTATATTATTAAGTATTGTTCATGGTAATAAAATTGGTGTATTTCAAAGCATCCACATGACATTTCGCACTCTAAAGAAACTTGTACAATAATGGATATCATTAATGCAAATAATTTCATCCAACAATATACTCAGTAGACTAGGACAGTTTTATATACCCTGTATAATGTTTGTTTTTATTTCTTGTAGTAAAATTGATGTAGTAAGGCATTTAAAAAAGGATTCTATCAAACTCAACTTAGAAACCCTTCAATCTACAAAATTGTAGTGGAAAAACGATTGAAACTAGTGATTTTAGACTCTTTAAGTTATCAGTGTTAATCAGTTTGTCACTTCTTTGTTCCAGAAAATCAGTAACGTAGTAATTTATAAAAAAAATTAGAATGTTAATTTACTAGACAAAGTACAATGAATTGTAAGCAATTAGATAAATGTAAAATTACACATTGAAATTCACTGATCCGTACATTGATCGTACGAATAATTCGATGAATTCGGTTTTGCTGGAAAGATGTAAGTTTGATAAGGAAAAGCTATATTTTCCCTCTTTCCTGATGCAAACACCAACAATAAATTTTCTAATAATCCCAATATAAGTCACGAGTATTTTTTTCAAAACTCACTTCAGATTTTCAACTGCATGAAATTCAAAACGTTTAAAGAAGTAATCTTCTAATGTAAATGCAGTAACTGTGTAGCTTGAGCCAGTCACCTCTTGAGCAATTCTCATTGCTTCATTAGCATTCCGAATATTACTACTTCCTGAAAGTGTTCGCATCTGAATAAGATGGTGAAATAAATGAATTTGTAAAATTATTTCAAACTTCCATCAAGTCATATCCATACTAAAAGCAAAAGTGCTGACTAATTATATATGACTTCAGCCATTTAGTTTGGTCAAAAGTTGTTAGGGTTGAATGCATTTTATGTGCCAGACAAAACGCAAATTTAGGTTGGTACTTGTATGCTCAATGGATGGAGCAGCTATCACAAACTCTCAACTTAAATGTTTTCTGTGATGTGGACGTACACTCGGTTATCATATTACGCCTCTGAATATATTGTACGTAATGATAACTGGCATGTATAAAGAACATTCTACAAATTATATTTAACTATCTATGATGATAAAACCAGGTGTTATATCATCGGTACATTCTCAGATGAACGTCTGTTTTAACAAAGATAATGAGTGATACAGAATCCACACTTTGTAGAACCGATCAACTTATAGGCCAATAATCTGTAAAGGATTCAGAACATGCGATGTCAATTTTTAGCATTCATCTCACTTACAACACATGAAATAATGCTTGTGTAAAATTGTAGATTCATGGAATATAAATTGATCCCACTTATTCAAAATGTGTTGCTTTAGTTCTAGAAGTTTTAATCAAACTATATAAATATATTTGTCGCTACTTAAACATATAATTATAACGAAGTTTAGTCAGCTTCTCTATCAACCATGAACTAATCTCAACATTCTAGTAAACATCGATGGAAACCTCTATTACACATATCTTTCAAAACCTTTAAAATACTTGTCAAGTGAAACGAATTACCTGTAAAAATCCTCCAATGACAATAAGTGGATAGAAGGCTAATATTAAGAGAGTCAGTTGCCAACTGTAGATAAACGAAACCACAAAAGACATAGCTATCAATGCTACAGCTTCTATGATGAAACCCAATTGTGAACCTGAAATCATTGTCACTTTCATAGCATCATTGGCCAGTTTTACAGTTAATGCTCCTGCTTGGTTCTCCGGTTTATCGAACCATTCTATTTCCTAAATAAAATACGTTAGAGTAAGTGGAACCATTAATTTCTAACTATTTTACTTGAATAAATTAAAATATAAGTAATTATGTGAAACGAAAAAATCACCTCTAACTTACTTGATTTAGCATGCTCTCAAAAACTTTTGATCGTAGGCGACTAACTAATATACCGCCTGATTTTCCAAAAAGTAAACTCTAAATAAATTCAAAAAAATATGTGCATTTAAAGTTAATTTTATTTACTTTTAAAAAATTAGTTTATTAACAATCACTCCAACAATTAGTTAACTCTGATTTGGCTTCTGTGAAGTATAAATTTGTTTCTAATTTCATACTATGACTAAAAACCATTATACCAATAAGATCAATTCAGTCAAGACAAATTTTGTTTTGGAATTTATAAACAGGGTAACATGTTCAGTTTCAAGGGAAATAAATTTCCTCAGTGTAATAAAAAGCTGTGGTGTTGACAGTCAACATTCTGGAAACATAACTGCTAGTGATCTCATCCAGAAGCTTTAACATAACTTTGGTGTAGATGCAAAGTACTATAAAAAGAAAGTTATCTTCAGTAACTTTAGTTCAATCTTGTAAAAATCCAAAACAGTTGTGCTGAATAACATCCAGCGTGAGAGGATACAATTATGCAATTACATTAACAAATTTGAAGAAATGAACATGGTTCCCTGAGTTTTCTGAAAATTATTTAGTCTTACATATATGAAACATTAATGAATATGGTAATGCTAAATAATTAGATGAGAAGTATAAATATTAGTCGGCTTGTCTATATACTCATCAGTTGGTTTAAATTTCACTTGAAAGAACGGCTAAGTTACATGAATTCAAAGGAATTTGTAACGCGATTTAAGAAATTACTGTAACATTAAACTGAAATGCGAGATACGTACAAGTTCAAGGGAAAATTCAGTCAATTTAAATTTTATATAACTGTGTTGTGTTATAACATAATGCCGTTTTACAAAATTATACTTAGATTCCAAATCAGTTTAAAAAACATTAAGTCTACTCAAACCAGAGGTAGTCAAACCGAAAATATTGACGTTAATAATCAGAAATATGTTAAGTTGCTAAATAAAACATTGATGCAAAATGGCTATCCCCTTAAACTCGTAAACAGATAGAAAGTTCATGGTACAGCCTTGGCAGAAAAAATACCTGTCTACCACTTATAGATGATTCAAATAGCCTTTGATTGAAAAAAAAGGCTTAAACCAGTCATTAACAATACGTATTATGCAGCAAAGGTCATTATCAAGGAAACAACAAGGTTCATGCTTCATCAAAAACCTAAAAGGCAAGAAAACGATTGCGTCACATACACTGTGTTTACCAATTTAAATGTGTGTGGTCACACATACATAGGGAGGAGTAATCGTGATCTCAAAATTAGGGTGTGTGAGCATGTACCGAAATGGTTACAGAAACAAATAGAATCGAATGACCCAATAAGAGTAGAGAATAAAAATCCATCATCCTCTATTGCCAAACGCATAATTGGAACAGGTTATAAGATTGATCTTAACTCGACTTTTGTGGTGTTGTACAAAAGTGTAAAAGGGCATATTACTAAGGTTTATTGAAGCCTTAGCCATACGAGAATTCAAACCCCCTCTGTGTATTCAAAAACGGTTTGTTCTCACCTTAAACCTACCCTCGTAATGTTAGCTTATTATCCAGAGTGATGAGGTTTCAAATTGTTTTCACATAATTTCCTTAATATATCTTTGTCTCCTCTTAACCTCGATTTCTAGTCTAGTTGACCTTTTATTTTTAAATATAAATGTTCTTAACAAGTATATATGTGATCAGATTGTTCGAAATGTATTGCGCTAATATATCGCATAGCTCTGATAATCTTGAATATCGTTAAACGAACGGCGGTTTTTGTATTTTTTTTCATCCGTTTTGAAAATTTTTTCGTCGTCTTCTTATTATACTATAGAAATGTATACTCCAATTGAACAATAGAGTTTTGGTAATACGAATAATCAGTGTTTCATCATTTGAGTAAATAGACACCGTTTCAAATTGATCTTGTCTATTGTGTATCAAAAAAGCAACATTATATTAAAGATGTCATCTTTGCAGAATTAACCATATAAAGGTAAGTGACCATTGAACTATTTATTACGAAAAAAAACATTATTTTAATTAGATTTCTACGACTGCTAAATTCAGAGAATAAATGGGACGAATGCGGACACAGACATTCAACATACAAAATAATATCTACGTCAATTTATGTTATTTAACATACATAAAAAAAGAAATGTTCGTAACACAATAAACTACGAATACAAAAACTTGAGTTTTTAATACTACCTGACTGACATTAGCTACAAAACGTAGAATTCCAATCACCACCATCATCCCACATACAACAGTGAGTCGACTAAACAGCAGATCTGGATTAGATCGCAAAGGAAAAATCTAAAATGGGTAATTTCACAAGTGTTACTATTACACAATGCAACTGGTAGACAATTCTCCAGAAAAGCAATATTATATGTGTATGGCAAAAAGTGTACATTTTTCTTGGTAAATTTGTATTTGCTAAATTAATCGCAACTATTAATTACACTGAAAATGACTTGTACTGCAACTGTGCTTCCATTCCATGAATATTGTCCGCTTCTTGTTACATAAGGTTTATATCAGATCACCTTCACCTACGCCCAGTAAGCAGTTATATCCAGATGCGTTACTCTTATGCCTTAATGAGTTACCACAGTCGAAGAACATCACATTTATCCGAAAACGTATATTTTATGACAATTCAATACGATATTTCTGTTGATTTCTTTAGGTCGAGTCATATTTTCGAAAGATTTAACGAAGAATTTAGATCCAAATATTATTTTATTAATCACTGCATTTGTTTTTATAATAATGTGTCACCTACTACCGATTTCGTTAATTGCATTTTATTCAACCAAATTATAATCCTTTTTCCATAAGTGATTACCGATTCTCCTAGAAATCGTCCTTATTAGATTCTTCAGTTAAAAATCTACAAAGCTGAATGATTTCATTTGCATATTCATGAGGAAGAAAATTGGCTGAAATTGAATTTTCTGTTCCGTTAAAACGGAAACAACTGGTGGAATGTTAAAGAAAATTCGTTTGGAATAATAAGTTCATAAGACTCTCCAGCTCGATGCTTATCAATAGAAATAATGATTCGTTTGTTATTATCAGCTTGCAATCAAGACGTTTCCACTCTTGACATTAGTGTTGAAGACCCTTCTCTTCTCAAACAAATACTAACTGGAAACGTGTCTTTACCAGCATTTGTCGGTATAAACATAGTTAAAATCTCTTAAAATTTATTTCGCCATTTTGAGCAATCCACTTCCAGTTTCCATGGCATTTTTAATTTATTCGTTTGCGTCAACCTTTAAATACGAATAACAAATTTGAACTTTCAGGTATTTTTTTGACTAATTATTGCGTCAAGAATGCACACATATATGCGACGTCACAGTATGAAACAGACAATATCAAATAAAGCTCATTGAACATTTAATCTCATTCAACAATTATGTTCATTGACTAATTCATACAACATCAGATTCATCCATTTCTCCAACCTAATCAATCCCTTAAGCCAGAAATACGTATGTATATAAAGTTAGATTATTATGAGATAAACGGTTTATGATGTCAGTTTTATGAAATACCAATCACATGTTTCATCATTACAACTAATAACAACCGAAATGAGTTAGAGCTGGAATAAAAATTTATTAATCATTTGGTTTTACCAGAACAGATAATAATCAAACAGTGAATTATAAGCGTACTTACACTATACATTTCAGTATACAGAATCGCAAAAGCTGGTTGAGTGGTCCCACTAATCACACAGCAAATACATCCTAAAACTATCAGATGTAGTTCAGGTCTATTAAGTTTTAAAACCCTTAATGTAGGAGAAAGCTTGATATTTTTTTCCTAAAAAAAGAAAAGTTGAAGTGAGCCATGCATTAGTTATGCTTCATGACGTACAACTCATTTGTTGACAAACTGGTTACCCAATAGCTCAGAGACAAAAAATAATTGGTTAAGTATATTTGCCTCAGTGTGTTAAACTGAAATCAATGAAAAATCATTACCCAATAACCACATCAAAATTCTGTTAACTTAAATTTTAACATCGTAATTGATAGAAGTCTTTAAAGATGGCTTATATAATACGAACGGATACGAAGGGTAAAGTATAAAGTCTATTTTCCTTGAGGTATATGTGTTCTAACTCCAGCTGAAGCTCTTCTAAGGTTACCACAGATCTCAAGATTGTATATAAAAGAGTTAGGATTAGGGTTTTTAAATCCATTTCCCAGAAAAGAAACACACTAGGAAAACGGTCATCAAAGATAATAAGTGTCCATATTTAAACCTTGTTCTAGTAGTTCAAGGGTCTTCATATAGAAGGGTGATAACGCCTCACGGCGATAACCACGAATCCTTGAAAGCCACGAGGCCAATGTCTCTTCTGACAATTAGGGCGACAAATAATGTAAGGACGTGGAGTGTCCGAACAATGTACGAGAACTAGAAGATCAAATAGCTTTGCAAACGATAAGGCACATCCTGACTTTGATTAGGACAAGTGGAACTCATTGAACACATTCTGAACAGAAAAGACATATCTCATGAGAGATGTTGAATTCTAATCATCCAGAATAGAATGTATAACATATACAAAAATTGCACTGATACCGTTTAGAGATTTACAAAAAGCGCTTATATTACGAAAAACCATGTTTTCACGATAACTAACACATTCTTCAAATAAAAGAAGGAAAGGACTACAACAAACATCATATAGTGTTATGTATCCAGAAACGATATTAGTAAAATGACAAAGAACAGTCTTGTGAGATGTAGTACACTCTATAGAAATGCTCAGGAAAGTCCCTGACTATCCTGATAAGGATGATGACCGCTTGACATGGACGAATCATAGAACAGCGTGGAGTGAGGAGTGGAAACGAGAATGGTAAGAGGCTGTTAATTGTGTCTTTTTAACATGATCACGGGTTAAAAAATTCCTCCTCACAAATTCATACGCAAAGCTAAATCAGTTTCCTTTGATCACACCAAGGAAAAATAGATCGATCACATCTGCGCCAAAAAACATTCAGAAGGTTCATTGAATATGTAAGAACAAATAAAAGATAAGGTATTACTTTAGATCACTTGATGGCAGCCAAGCTAATATCAAAGCAAGAGAAGATTTGGCAGTTGAACAAACAGAACTATGAAATTTTAGCACAATGCTGTTTCAAACCGTTAGAGAGCTTAGCAAGTTTCGGTCAACTTTCAGCAAACAGCTCCAAGCCTTACAAGGTCTAGCAAAAGAAAGGAAAACGACTATGGAGAACAACTGGAAATTGATTAATGAATTACTTAAACATGTCACATGTTGAGCTCTAAGAAGCTACATCATGAAAAATGAGTTTCTATCGATAACCTAAGCAATAACCAACAGCTGCAACCAACAACAGCAGAAGGAGAGCAGAGAAAGCCAAGGCATAGGCTGAATATACAGAAGCGAACAAACAAATGAAAAATAGTATGAAAGCTGACAAGAGGAAATATGCTGAAGGCCTGGAGACGACAGCAAGAAATACGAGCAAACCATATGATACAGCGAAGACCCTAGAAGGAAAACAGTAAGCTGGAGTGACCGGTCAAAATCAAGAAAGGCAAACCGATTACTGAGGTTCATGAGCAGTGGGACAGGTGAATAGAGTGCTATGAAGAACACTTGAATAGACCGGCTCCAGTGAGTCCCCGAGAAATCACAGTAGCATACACGGGCGTCTCTGAAAATGATATCACAATAACAACCGAAGAAAATAGCAAGAACATCATACAATCAAGAGTGACAAAGTAGCAGGGGCAAACAGCATACCAACTAAGACGCTAAATCAGGTATACAGGTAACTGCAAAGATGATCCATGTACTCTTCGGAAATATTTGGGCGGAATAAGGCGTATCAGTAGACCGAAAAATGCAATACTTCATCAAAATGAAGAAATTAGATCCTAATAAATGTGAATAATACAGAAGGATCACACTGTTGTTAGTGCTCGGCAAAGTTCGCAACTAAGAGTTGCTGAAACGAACGAACGATTGAGTAGACCCTCATTCTCCATATCAACAAGCTATCTCTCATAAGGATAAATCATTAACCGACAGAATCATTAGACTGTATACACTATTGAACAATCAAATGAATTGAACTCATCACCATATATCAACATACTAGATTACAATAATCATTAGACTGAATAGAGAGGAGAACCTTATGAAACCTTCTTTGACACTATGGAGTACCTTAAAAGGTCGCCACCACCACACACAACTCTTACGACGGATTGTAGTACAAAGTCATGCATAGAGCGTAGCTCAGGGGCACATTACAAGTGAAGGCTGTTAGTTTATTGTCACTTCCCTTTCCTCTGGTTATTGACTGGACTATGAAAACCTACAAATTCCGGGAAAGCACGGGACGCAGTAGATACCGTGAACGTAGTTGAATGACTTGAACTTTGCAGACGACCAAGCATTTCTATGTCGCATACAGCATCAAATGTAGGAAAAAATAGTCAGTGCTACATTGGCTTCCACAACAGTAAAGCTCAGCATACACAATTGGAAAAGCAAGATCCTGAAGTACAACATAGTGAGCACTAAACAAATCACATTTGATAACAAAGTTCTGGGAGAGATTGAATTCTTCACGTACCTAAGCAGTATCATCAGTAAATAAGAAGAATCCGATTAAGATATCAAAGCGTAAACTGACAGTACAAGGGTAACATTCCTACAACTAAATATCCATAATTCAGAACAACTGTACCCCAGCACTAACGTCAAAAGTTTTATTATACATAGATGAAACCTGAAGAGATAAAGTCATTACCAAATTGTAAAAATGTATGCAAACAGCTTCAGACTCAAAATACTTCAGATCCATTGCAGAGCCTGTCTGCAATAACCTTTGAGGCAGACAACAAACCTATCACCTGCTGAAGAAAAAATTATGAAAAATCTCCTGGGTAAATAGAATACACTTGGGGAGAAACGATTGAACTGCACCAAAAAGCAAGCCTCACACTACAATATACAAGGGAACAGGAAACGAGGTAGAACAAAGAAGACATGACGCCAGGAATGAAGACAGGCAGCAAGTTGATGAATAGAACGTGGTAATATCTGGAAAGAAGAGCATAGGGTAGAATTTGCTGGATACTTCTGGTCGCCTCATATGCCACTTGAGAGCAGTAGGCCTATGCGAATCGGTCATGTTTTCCCTTTACTGATTTTAGTAAAATTAAGATACCCTTCATTACCTTCCACTTCATGCAATGGGGATAAATTATAGCTGCTTGAAATTTGGGAATATATACAATACTTTGGTAATTATATTTCCACAATTCAGATGTATCGTAGTCTTAAAATGACTGTGCGATTCCTACTTATGAAAGAAGTAGATATGATAATCAGGAGTATTCGAATTAATGTACTAAGAATTCCCGAAACAGTTCAATTCAAGTCAGGTAGAACTAGATTAGCACAAATGAACGTACTATATTTGGAATTCGTAATCAGCGCGCAATCAAGTACAAAGGAATCAACAATGAGTACAAATGCCACAATTGTCATTCAGAGAAGGATACATATGAGTTGACGTAGCAAGATTAAAGCTTGGGCGAACTAGCGTGGACTCAATTTATTTCAGTCAATTAGTTCCTTTGATGGTTTTATCGCTACGTTCTCATCAGTGTATTATAAGCACCCTCATTTTCTAATCAGAATTACATAAAAGTTGTCATAATTATGCAAGTGAAATTCGTAAGAAGTGAATATGTTCTGACTTCTTTCAAATCAAGTAAAGAACTATGCTCAAGTATATTGAGGTTTTATAGGTTCATATACTTCTAACTAAAAAGTAGGTACTCCATGTCTATGGAAGATTTCGGAGAAAACTTTACGGAATAATGAAATTATTCCAAAACCACTCAATCGTGTACATTTGTATTTTATTTACCGGCTAATTCCGATTCCAAACATATAATTCGTTCAGTTATCTTCATCGAGCTCTATCAGCTTTAAATTGAACCTTTCTGGGAATTCTTAGTTAGCGCATTAGTTCGATTACTTCTAATCATCATACTTAACTGGCGATTCCCGTAACACATCTGCATGAATAAAATAGTTTAAATAATGGCAGAATTGTAATGAAACGACTATCGCCTGAAATAAAATGTGAACTGCAGATAGTTCAAAATACTAACTGAATAGCTAAACGTACATATCATTTAGTCATGCATCATTCTAATGGGCGTACTGAATATATTTCAGTATAGTTCCAAAACTTCCTTATTCTGATGTTCATGCATAAAATGTCAAGACCTTGGGAACAATAATCATTCCTTTTACTGGTGTACAATTTAAGGGCCTGTAGAGAATAGTTTATTAAATCTTTCAGAACAGAAATCCCAAACCTCAGACAAGAGGAACAATAACAAAATTGCTTAAACAAAAAAACTCGTTCGAATATAGACATTTCATCTCTCTGAGGTATACTACGCTATTACAATAATATGAAAATAAGACGGGTCTGTGTGACCGAGTTTATAATGCCCCAACATTGGATACTTGGACGATCCGTTACACACAAAACAGAGACTAGATCACATATCAGATACAAAATTCACGACCAAGAACAGAAAACCAGAGTCACGATAGATAATACTTATTTCACACAGTTACAAGCCATCATTCTCAGTGTGTACCACATGGAAATCAATAAGTAGGAAAGAAATCACATAATTAATATCAGTGTGGGAACTTGTGGAGATTGCAATATTTAATAGTAAGTCGAGTGTTTGTTTGTCCACACTCAGTGACCAATCACATTTACTTCCAATACTACACATTGACATTACACTGAAACATCATAATAATTATCAACCTAAACTCGATTAAATATAAAACTTACTTGATTACGTAGAATCGAAATTGTTGAAATAAGGGAAAAATTCCCGTATGTAACATTTCCAGTGGTTTCAGATACATTCTACACAAACAAATGAAACAAATGGCACACGCATGTGAAATCATTTGAACGTGTTATTCAAGAACATTGTGTTATTTTTGATTACTTATAACTATTATTCCATCAGACCACTGTTATTCAGAGGTTTGCTCAATTTTTAACTATAGTGTTTGAAAATACTAGGTTGACATCATTTTCACCAGACTGACAAAAATTACACAATCATTAAACACACACGTTTGTAATATTATGTTAAATTGTGGATGTACGTGGTCAAACAGTCGCAGATAGAGAATAAACAAACAGTATCCCATATTTCATAAGAATATTTGAATTTACAACTACACTTTGTAACAATCTATCACTTTCTGTTTAGTAAGCGGAATATTTAAACTATACATAAGTTCAAGCAATTTGTGAGAAAATCAATCTTAAAGTATATTCGCTAACGATGTTTCAATGTAATTTCAATGAAAACGAGAAATCGGTTTGAATTATATGTGAATCCTGAGAAACATTTTATGGCAGAACAAGCATATTAAAATTAATTTTTAAAACAAAGTTACTTACATCTTCACCATTATCCATTTTACAAATATCGTCTAATTTCGTCAACAAGTCTTTTCCACTGACGATACATTTATTTCGAGATCCTTCATCCAATAATTCACTGTCATCGTTCTCAGCACTTTCCAATATTCTCTGAATGAAATATATTTGATGTTTAATTATTTATGGAAGTGTCAATACAATAATCTAGTCCTATGGTAAACTCTTAATTCAGTATGGTCAACTTACACAACCCACAACAAGTAATTACTCTCTTCGTAAATATTAACACAGGTGGTATGTCTTAACCACAATTTTAAAAAACTTATTTACTTCAAACTTCTTCAGTTGCAGATTAACAGTTGCGGAATAACAATAATGGCACTAATATAAACCAGATCAAAGTTTTGCAAACGATACTGTTGTGTTTCAATTCAAAACTTATGCATAGTCGTTTTAGTTAATTTAATAGTTGATTATCTTTCTGTGCAACACAAACTTTGCGCCTACAAAAAACATATCAGCTTACAGATACCACTCTATTCTAAGTATAATTTAGCCATATTAGTTTAAAATGCAAACAATAAAATGAAATTTTTAAAGTAAAATTAAAAAAAGTGCCACTTCTTAGACAAACATATAAGACGTTTCGTTATTGGTATCCACCAGTTTATCATGATAATCTATCGTAAAATAATTCAAGCACACGCCAAAACGCTTTGAGCAACACTAGTCTGGAGAAATTTGAACGTACCTGATTACTAAGCATCGCAGCATAAAGACCGTTTTCAGCCACAAGTTCAGCGTGTGTCCCAGATTCGCGAACCACTCCCTTATCAAGCACGACTATCAAATTCGCATTACGAACTGTTGTAAGACGATGAGCAACAACTACCACAGTCCTCCCCTCAACCGCTCTATCCAAAGCCATTTGGACAAGACGTTCTGATTTTGCGTCAAGTGAGGACGTTGCTTCATCCAACAGCAGCAACTTCGGCTTTCTAATCAGAGCTCGAGCGATTGCTATACGTTGCTTCTGACCACCTGACATTCCGCCACCTCGTTCACCCACAAAAGTGTCGTATCCCTGAATTCATAAAATGATAACAGTTCAAATTTTAGTTGAGTAGATAATATTACTTCTGGTAAATGGCCTAAATTTCAACATTGTTGAGATGGCTTACATCTGGGAGTTGTTGAATGAAACCGTGAGCGTTGGCAAGCTTTGCAGCTTCTTCTATCTCATCTTGAGTTGCATCCAGCTTCCCTAACCTTATGTTATCACTGATAGTTCCTTCGAAAAGTACCGGTTCTTGCTGTACACAGCCTATCTGATTACGATAAGCTTTCAGGTCCAGATTCTTGATGTCCTCATCCTCGATTAATACCTAAAACACCAAATATAATACAACATGTTTAGATTAACGGTGATACTAAAGTTGCATACCGGTAATTAAATAACGAAACAAAATAAAATAATCTTGTCAGAAATTTTGCCCAGATTCAAAAGACTGGTTTCACAGTAGTCGGAGCAGTGTATGGAAGAAATTACAAAGAAAATAATATTTGCAAAACTTCCAGTGGTTGAAATTAAAAATAGCTCTAGAGTCTAGAACTCTCTCCCTTGATCGAATAGAACTTCACAAACGATTTTGTAACTTTTAACATCCATTATCTGTTTGCTTTTTCTTTACTCCCTTTCGCATATATTTTCAAGTATCTGATTAGTTAAACAATTATTATTATTTAGTTTTGTTGACTTTAATCTTAAAACTTATTCTTTTACGTTTTGACCTACAACCAGTATTGAAACGCTGATTCATACTTCTATCGAAATCACTATTCTTATTATTACTAATATACCCATCAGCTAATCATTAATTCGTACTTTTGCCTATGTAATCTACTTTATTGTTATAATTGACTCATAAACTCCGTTTGTCGGCTTATTGATTTTTACATACACGCAAAAGCACTGCTAAATACTGAAGCAAATCCTAATGACGATCTAACTGAAAACATGCGTGTTGTTCAATGAAAATGGCCAACTAATTCAACTATCGATGAGTAATTTATTACAGAATATGTATTTAGATCGCTTCAGGAATATATTCATGAAATTTCATTACCGTGGATAAGCATTTTTATTAGTGGAAACGCACTAGTCACTTGAATAAGTCTTTTATTCTCTATTTACATGTATTAATGAGATGAATCACGTCTCAATTTTATGGAACATTTCAGTTATAAAACTGATTGTCAGAGTGTGAAGTAACCACCCTTGTTTAGAAAGCACACATACTGCATAGACACATCTTCCAATGAAACCTGTAAAAACATATCAAAATGAAGCTACTTCAAAGTACTGCATACCTCGCCTTTCGTTGGGTCATAAAATCTTTGCAACATATGAACAACGGTACTTTTCCCTGAACCGCTCGGTCCAACCAATGCCACAGTTTGCCCACTTTTGATGCTTAAACTAAAATTCTTTAAAACCTACAAAGTAGAGTTAGTACACACGTATATAGCAGACGGTGCACTCAAATTGAGTAAAACTTAATTGCATTTAAAAGTAAACGGATAAACGTTTTCTCATTGACATCTCATATGCTCTTACCGCCAACCAGTGTAAAACGATGAAAGGGAATATTTCTGGCGTTGTTCATTGAATAATAAAGGAGATAATCTATGCTAATTTATGAGATGACACCTATAAATAAAACGCAGGAAAAGCTATTCACGAGACGATTGTTCCTGTCACTGGTTTACCGTCATGTTAATGTAACAGTATAGGTATGCATAGACCGAGTGGTGATACTGGCATCAGTTTAGTATGGAAACATAGATATCTTTTCACTTGTATCTCTATAAAATTTCCCAAAAATCATGTATAACCACTGGCTGAAAAAAAGCGATGAGACACTAAAGCATATCAATAAACTTCAGATCTTATATTGACTTAGTGAGTGATGTGTTTTCAGCTGAAGAGTACCCAAGATGGTGTACAATTATATTATTTCAAAAAACATGTCCATACATCCAACTTGCGATTTATGCAAACATCTTATTGAAAAACTAATAGTGTAGTTATGTTTGATCACTTCCTAGGTGTTTTAAAACAGTACAGAATCTGGAAGAACATATTTTTCAATATCTCTCCATCCACGACAACTTACTTCAGTCACCTTTTGAAAGTTACTAAACTGACACATTAGCAGAGATTCTGATTTACTCACTGCAATATCTGGTCGACTTGGGTATGCGAAAGAAACATTTCTGAATGTGACGTTCCCAGAAAAGTTCGGAATCAGCCTTCCGTGACAGTCTTTGTCAATTTCCGGGACCTGAAATAAAGTAGTGGGTATAAAGTAGTTAGTGGCTTCCTAACAAGCTACAACAAATCTGAATGATATGTCGGCAGTTTGCCCGGAAGCAAAAAAATAAAAATGATAAACAATCCAATTCCATTGCATGCTGCATGAAATTACAAACAAATTCATTAATTTAGAACAGTGTATCATTAAAGTTCAGGAAACAATTCACCTCAAATATGGATCAATATCTCAAAAGGTCTAGCAGAACTCCACAATCAATTATCCGGTAATCCGTACTTTAAATGCACTGGATATCAACATCAGTAACTGTTATCTAAAGACTTGTGTGAAGTAACAAATTACCAAACATTGTTCTATTCATAACACGCATGTCTTCGTTATTTGTCCCTCTAACTTCCTGCTGTGATCTCATAAAATCTCACATCGTTTTTGTATTTGTGACACAGGACCGTAACTACATTTTCTACAAACCCTGTGTTTTGAACAATTACAAACGTTTAACATCACAAAATAGGTTGTTTTAAAACAGATGTAGATATCCTTAAAGTGTGAACGCCAGTCTTATCACAATTCCAAATATGGAGTTACTGTAGTGTTGGTTACTGTTTCCACTGTCAGACATCCAAAAGAAAATCCAATCACTTTCAGAGAACAAAGGTAATCACAATCGACGTGCATTTTATTTTAAACAATCAAAGTTTCTATTTCGACCTACTAATGCTGAAGAACGTTAATAATCAGTCGGCTATTTCCCATTTTATATTATTGTAAATGGGACATAATAGTAGCTTTCATCTCGAAGACTGTACTTTGTTACCGTCATTAATTTAAGCTTGAAATTGTAGACGAGGAAATATTTCTTCAATATTTCTCAAATGAATGGCCAGTGAGCATGTAAGGGAATATTTCTTATAAAGCTATCATAAAACAATTGATCAATGACATCTAAACAAATTTACAAGATAGGTCGTGGGATAAACTCACACGCTCGATAATACTGTAAATTTCAGTGGCTGACGCCTGTGCGTTCATAAAATATTGAAAACTTGGTAGAGCGTTACCCAGAAAAACACTTCCTAAAAGAACATTCACGAAAATCTGGAAAGGCATAACAATAACGAGTGAAAACTATAGAAGTTTCAATTTGACGTGTTACTAAGATATACAGGTGATGAATATACTGAACGATCATTTTCAATTCTGAATTCTCACTCATTTATTCTTAAAACATATGCAGTTACCTCCTAAATACAAGCCTTAAACGATTCTCTCATCAGATTGTAATCGAATAATTCATTGGCCATACCTAAAATAATGGCCGTAAATTATAAACGTAAAAGGTGAAATGTAATCTTTCGTAAGATTTTCAGCTCTGTAATGTAAAAATACACGGCTGAAATATTTACTTTTTTCAGTGAAAAATTTTCATCCGGTAAAAAAATAGAGCGTAGGAAGAACGTATTTTGGAATATGGATTCATTAAACAAACAAACTTATAGTACTGGTTAATTTTATACATTGGACACCACATGCATTTATCATAACGATTATTATGTAGGTAGCTTGATTTGACATTGACAAAGAAAATAATTAGTGCAGATGTTTACTGTTTCGTGAATTATAACAAACAACTACAATTATTTTACAATCAACAGGTTACGTTGAATTGCTAAACATATACTGCCAAACTCATTGGTTGTTTTTCTCCGGACTACCTGATGAGATTCAAAGGTAACGAAATTAATTTGATCTTAAGAATAAAAAGAAATTGGACCATATGAATTGTTTTATTAAGGGGCTAAGACTTCCTGATTATTAAGAAACAATATTTTCAAAATTTAGTCCACTTTAGAAATCACGTATTTTCATCTCTAATGATAACTCATAAACTTTATGAAATGCAAACATTCCAGAGTAATGATCTTCCCATTCAATATATTGCATGGGGATCTAAAGATGTGTGAATAAAATGCCAAGCACATTGCTTCACTAATTACTGGAATCAGGATTTTGTTTTAAACAACTTATTCTTACAAAGTCTCCCTCTTAATCTTATCATAGTAGATTTCGAGATTTATGTCAAATCACTGTTTGGCATAAAAACTAAGATTACATACCGTCACAATAGCTCCAGCGTCATAATCTTCATTTACTATTAATTTAAAGCCATACCAAAATAGTAGAGCAGTAGAACAAAACACAGTCAGTCCAATTGTCCCATTAACTAAAAGTAGGAAAAATCACAAGTCAGTAATTCATAGTACAGTATTGAACTGCATAACATGTACACATTCGCTTCTCCTCTTTATTGCAAACCACTAAAATTAAAATTTCTCCATCAAATGTGCACGATTGAGTGGTTTTGGAATAATTTCATTATTCCGTAAAGTTTTCTCCGAAATCTTCCATAGACATGGAGTACCTACTTTTTAGTTAGAAGTATATGAACCTATAAAACCTCAATATACTTGAGCATAGTTCTTTACTTGATTTGAAGGAAGTCAGAACATATTCACTTCTTACGAATTTCACTTGCATAATTATGACAACTTTTATGTAATTCTGATTAGAAAATGAGGGTGCTTATAATACACTGATGAGAACGTAGCGATAAAACCATCAAAGGAACTAATTGACTGAAATAAATTGAGTCCACGCTAGTTCGCCCAAGCTTTAATCTTGCTACGTCAACTCATATGTATCCTTCTCTGAATGACAATTGTGGCATTTGTACTCATTGTTGATTCCTTTGTACTTGATTGCGCGCTGATTACGAATTCCAAATATAGTACGTTCATTTGTGCTAATCTAGTTCTACCTGACTTGAATTGAACTGTTTCGGGAATTCTTAGTACATTAATTCGAATACATTCAATCGTCATACAATCCATAAAAATTGATCTGTTTATGACACTCTGGATTCATATGACAGATTAGTCAGATTGTTAAGTGAAACGTTTGACTTTTGATATTGTTTCCGTACTGCAGTTAACAAACAGTAATGCTGATGGATACCACTGCATTATCAGCAATCTAGTTATAAAGGATAGATGAAACCATGCATATTTTAGCCTGTAATCTCATCAAAATATTTTTACCTCATACTTGTGTCATTTATCTAAATTATCGAATGCCTGACATTTGCTGTCTGTAATACATACAAACAAGTGCACATTATCGTTCAAAAGGACAGATTATAACTGAGTACAGTGAGAGCAGATACTGCATCCAAATATTGTCATATTTACGATTGAGATATGCAATCTAACTTTTAAAATAACCCTTTTTTTTCTTAATTGAACATGTTAGCGGAACAGACTAACGATTGCGAATCTTCTCAGACGACAACGAATCAAGTTCTGTGGTTATTACACATACCGCTACTTACCTGCACCTGATGCCACTACTTTTTTCAGCCCAGCTTTTTCTGCCGTTCCCAGTTGCTCACGGTATCTTTTCAACTCCCTTTTCTCTCCACCGAACGCAACAACAGTGCGTATAGCTTCTAGGACTTCGCCGGCAACAGCACCAGCGCGTGCGTATGCAACTATTTCCTTACGGTGAAGTATTTCATCAGAAACCCAAAGCACCCAAAAACTGCACCGATGATGGGCAGTATAGCGCAAGCAACCAAGGCAAGTTTCCACCCCACTGCGAAGTTAATTATAATACCTACTATGAATCCAGACAAGTTTTTAAAGAAATCGGTCAATGTTGAACCCATCCCTAGTTGAATGTTGTCAATGTTATGAGATAGTTTGCTGATGAGTGATCCAGATGACTGTTCATCAAACCATGCAACGTCCTGGCGTAAAATGCTCTGAAAAATAACAATTGGCAATGTTTTTCATTAAAATCTAAACATATTGGCATATTAAATAACCGAAAATTTGCTTCTGTGATAAATAACCAGGAAATTTTATGCCTCAGTTATCTAAAGCACAAATTTTTATTTCCAAACAAAGCAGAACTCACCTAGTTTGTGTTCCGAAATTAAAGCTTGTTCAGAAAAGTTTGCTATTATTTGCTAAATCACTAGTTTTTCTGCACGCCTCTACAATGTCATCGTGAATCGTTCATAGAGCTTGAGGTTATACTAACTGGTTTGAATAAGCTTAGTTTTCTTACCGATGTTTCCAAACCAAACACCTGACATAAGACTAAGCAATAAGATAAAATGTGTTCAAAATACATTTCACTTAACAGTAAGCTTCTTATTATTCAACCGTAACTACCAAATGAGAATTGGGAGAGATTCGTGAAAAAAAACACTAGATCACTACGTCACAAGATTTTCTTTGACCTTAACTTGGCTACAATAAAAGTTTCAGCACTCTATCCTCTTGACAGTCAATTTACTGGCTTATGAATCATCACGAACACTAAATTTTGTCTAAACGATTATGAACCTCAGAACTATATGTAGTATTATTTAGTTATTCCTTATGCAATACCAACTCTGTGTTCGAATGCGCTAGAAAACATTTTTTGTTATTCCAGTTGCTCATTCAGTGTAGTTTAAAAAATAAAACCAACATTCAAGAAGCAGTTAAATAAACATACTCTCTTCGATCTCATTAGCATGTAAAATGAATTCATTTTGAGTTGCATTTGGAATGCGAGACACTATTTTAGTTGGTTTACATCCAGACTATAATTCTTGCTTATTAATACGTCATCTAATACTAATATGTTTTATATAAACAATGATTCCTGTAACATAATGCTCCAGAAAACGTAAATAGTAAAAAACACAGTCGACTTACTGCTAGCACTGATGTAAATAACAAGATAGATTAAATATCGGTTACAAAAACAAACGTGTTGTGAAATATTTTTTACGATAATAGACCATGTTCATTTATTAAGCATTCACTTTCATTCATTGTAAGTAGAACTTTCTTTCTTTCCAAATGAACTATGTAGGTGAATTAAGACAGACATATGGTTACACAAACCAATAATATACCTCGATATTTGCTCTCAGCAGTTTATTCCATTCTCAAATGTATTGAGTGAGCTTGGCGACGGTTGAAGCTAGTAGATGGATTTTAAACAAAGTTACAACTTGACTAACAGTAGAGTTTTCAATTATATACTAGCATATAGAAATCTGAGATAAAAACCCTTATGAATTCGCTTGAAAAAATAACCATTCGTTGATTTCAAAGTAAACGTCAACCTAGATACTAAATCAGCTGACATGAACAATAAAGTTCGGTGAGAAAATTATTTCGAAATATTTATAATTTGAAAAGACTGGAAAATGTACATTACTCTGAAATACAGCGAACGAATTCGGTTAATTTTCCTGATTGTGAACAAATTGATCAAGAAATCTTGACCGAATGCTAATAATAACACTGTAACACCCACAAGAGCAAACCATTTAGAATATACATAGATGCTTTCTTTGAGAAAAATTTCCTCGGTGAAGTCATTGACTACACCCCTCAGTATAAGAGAATGAACGGGTAGTAAAGCTCCAACTATAGTAGCGAAAATAACTGCCATGAATAATGCGCAATACTCGCTTTTATCTGTATTTCTGAACTAAATTATTTTTTAATAAACTACATTTTAATATAGATGCTTTACCAGTGCCCATGGTTTACTTTTTTGATACATGTGAACTTTGTAGTTAATAAATTAGTCGCCGTTAGCAAAATACTTCTCCCTTGAGCACGATATTCAATAGTATCGATCGAATAGGTGTAGATGATCTGCTTCAAACTGCGCAATTAAACAAGCTTTGATATTACACAACAGATTCGAAACACCGGATGTTTTAATACACGAAGTAATCTGGCAGTATGATTTTTTTGGAAATATTGATGGAATATATCCATGTTTTTAGTTATCTACTTAGTAAATACCACTTATATTTGGTTACATCTTAGGTAGATAAGACCAACAACAGAAGAAACAGAAGAGGTCCAAAAGAAGTCACAGACAGAAACAGATACACTATTTCATCACCAATCAACTGAGTTATACGGAGGTGGTGTAGCTTACAGCATTTCATCTGCGTGTCTCACTCGTCCCACACGGCTGCTCGGTGACGCTTGTGCGTCATTGGACGGTGATTTGCTGACCTAAGCATGACTCTGCAGCCTAACTGTGAGGCACAGTCTATTATTGCATCTGGCTTTTCTCAGCTATATTGATGTTTGTCTCAACAGTGTTACCTCACCTCACTTCCTTATTAACCCTACCAGAGCTAAACACTATGAGCATACGGCCTAATTTCTGATGTATTAGCCTGAAGGCTTACTCTCTGGTGTCTGTGACCAGGTCTCCACCTTAGAAAGTCTTCATCGTTATCGCGGTTATATTTAGCCTTAGATCCTTTAATATTCATGCTAACCTAGCTTAAGTCATTCATCTTCAACCGTCAGTGTAACTTAGGTTTTATACAACTGGCTCACTACAATTATTCAGTTTTCTCGACAAAGGATGAGGACAGAACCACGTGCGATCTGAAGCTGACCTCATCTCTGGTCCTTTCAAGAGGGTCCAACTGTAGCACTCTTCCACTGCAGCTCGTAACTAAGTATGTCTTGACTCACATGCCCTTAAGTTGTACTGATTTCGTATTTGCAACTAAAGATGCCACAAGTACTTTAAGCTTGACAACACCTTAACCAGCAACACCTTTTATAATGGAAACATGCCAACCCAGTCAAACAAGAAGTCAGAAGCGAACAGACTGGAAGATTTATTTCATAGAATATCGATATATCGAAAAGTGACTAATCATAGCTGGCTTGAAGCACTAGCGGTTGTAGGAGAAATGAAACACTGAGCACTAACTCGTGGTCCGGCGTAGAAGCATGACTGGGCGCCACTGAAATTAATGCTGTCAGCATCACATATTGAAAGCTTACAGAGGTATTTATTTTGAGGATTCATTTAACGCTACAAAATGTTATAGGTCATCACAAAATTCCCACTAGCACCTGCAAGTGATCAGTCTCCATATAATATTTGCTGTCTCAACGTACACTTACAGACTCAACCTAATTCTAACACGCGATTAAAGACGAATCGCCGGACCTAGACTTGAGACGACAACACAACTAATAAATGATAATCAAATTGTTAGTTAATAAGCGCGGCAAGATAAATGATTCTTTAACCACGTTGCCTAGCAAGGTGAGTGGAATAAGCGTGACCACAAATGGCACCAGCCGTTTGACACTTTCCAATGCAAACTATTCAGAAACACAGTAAATGTTCTAGTAAACTGTAAATAATATATATACACCAATGTGAAATTGTGTCGTCTCATACTTTGTGCTTCCTATGGGATACTGAATCATTAGAATTTATATTGTTAGGCAGCGGAGATATTCTATCTTAACCTTCGTGCTGGCGATCAATCGAACCATCTAAGAAACTAAACTTTCAGACATCTCTGATAAATCAGCCATTTTAGTCTACACATCTTCTGTTTCCGAAAATCCGTTTTCGCTGATGTGGACGATGTAAACTGTCTCAAGTGGTTATTTATTTAGAATTCACTTGTTAGGAACGATTACTACACCCTGATCTGCGTATTTTTCCCAGGTCACCTACAATTATTTCACACATGATGTGTAGTTAAATACTTTTTGAATCACCTATTTTTAAACTAATGTTTTAGGTACTTTGTCTCCATGTCCTGACAGTCCATTCGTACTGTTTTCTCCTTTTGTAAAATCTCTCATCACTTAGCAAAAGCAAGTTATTCGATGTTGAAAATTCGAAGTCCCTAGCACCATTCGTCACTTGATAGTGACCTAATATGTAGAACCTCTTTGGACTTGCTTACAAACTTCTCATGTACCATACACTGCCACTCGTGGCGCTCGACATTTACTCTTCTATGCATATTTGTCTTTCACATAGATCTTCACAACAACTAACTTGGTAGATTTTCACCCTGCATCTGCATGTAACAACCGTTAATAATGATAGAAATAATAGAACATTCTAAAAGTCAACGCAGAATGCAGTCATGAGAAGTTCACAAGCCCGAGCAAATAATCATCTGAGCAACTAAATGGTACTCGTGATTCCGAACTGGGATATTCTAAAATCTATCATTCACAGAGCAAGCTTTACCTCAAGTCTCCAAAGCTTTCAAACATTTTGTATTTGTTCAATCACATAGATAAACCAGGTTTTTAAACTTATTTAAACTAGTCGGTTAGATGATTTAAATGTTGTTGCACATTGAACAAGTCCACCTAAACTGCATTAATGAAAGCCAAACATAATAATAACATTTAGAATTCCACCAAAATGTAACACTATTTGATGCAACTCGCCCAACTCTTTCGAGGTTGGGCAACAAATATCAAATAGATTTACGCTTACGAACCAAATAAGGCCAAAATCAATGTAGTTAGATAGCTGAATAGGAAAATTTTGTATATAATCGTAAATTTATCAAAGTATGATTCAGTACAACTGTTGTGTAAACAAAGATCATTACACGCTATAGACAGTCTGGTCTTTTTGAGTCTCGAAAACAGACAAAGACTTTTTTCTCACTTCATTTGATAGAGTTCGATCATCAGATCTTCACTTCACCCGTTCCACTGACTTATGTATGTTAGATACCACTTGACTCACTCAATCTAAAAGTCATTCATTCCTATTATCTTTTAGAGAAGATGGTTGAGTCATGGCTCATTTTCAATAATTAGCCAGGATTCTGTAGCGTGGCGTCGAGTTGAGACTAACTATGAACACCGCTACAGAGAAACACGTGCCAAGTGAATCAGAAGGCGAAGGTTGAACGTAACCAAAGAAATCCATAAAATCCCCGAGAAGCCAAATATCAGAAGGCAGTTAATGGACCAAGTCGAGATATATTTGCTGGTGATCTCGTGGTATCGAAAGGATACCGAGATCGTGCCAGGATACAAGCTTGGCTACAGACCGTAACCGAAGTCATGCGAAGTCACAACCAAAGTGTAAGAATAATGGATGCTTTTTAGCACAGTTAAACAAAAGCACATTAAAACAGTCACTGGTACAGTTGGCTATAATAATAATTGTTTTCATCAAACCAGTCGTGTTCTCGTGATATAAGTGAGTCACTACAAATCTTTGAGCTTGTTCATAAAGTGCAGACATTTGCTGTATGCACTAGAATCACTGTCTCTGTAATTCAAACCTATGTGAACTGAGTCTGCTACGTTTTCCTCAGACGGCTAATATCTTCATAGGCCCATGATAAGAAGACTATGGATATCCAAAATTCAGTTCGCCCGCATTGAATGTACAAAGCACTGCAGTCTAATAATACGCCACAACAGAGAGTAGATAAAGGAGCCCCACGTTGATCTCACCATTTTCGTGTTTATTCTATGACAGAGATAAGCTTTAAACGTCCCCGACTGACTATCCTTGTCACGGATTGCCGTCTCTTCCTTCCATTCTAGACAGGATTTGCTTAAACGATATGACTTCAAAGCTGATTTAAGTGTCATAAAGTGAGAATACAGTTCTTGGAATGCGCCACCTAGTTGCTAAGTATTTTGACTTATCGGTCTTAAAGACAAAGAAATCAAACATTGCATTCCAGGATAAACTCAAACTACAAACTGTAGAAAGTATTTTAAGATTTAAAGTCTTGAAACGGCAGCTTTATCATAAAGTAGAATCGATCTAAATACTTCTGAACATATCGCCACACACCGCCAGCAGATGACAAGTAATTGCAAAAGTATAAACTCATATCTACCACCTCTCGAACAATAGTGAACAACAGATAAAAAAAAACTAAATACAACTGGGGACGAACAGCATTTCATGGCTTCCTAACCTAACCTACTCTCAGTATTCAAAAAGTCGTTTCTAAATGCTGTAGTTTGTGTACTGACAATTCAAAATCGTCTACTAAATTAGAAACCCGTATTTTAGAGGGCGACTCAACTTGAGAGTAACCATTTAACAAGCTATCATAACTACTTGATATTTTCAACGCTTACTCGCCAGTAGAACATTTCTTCCAAAGCCTGTTCAAAGTCTATAACCTATGAAGTTTTGGTTGTATTTTAGTAGCCCATTTATCTGACTTCAAGATCGTACGAATGTTTGTTATCGCCTATTCTCGTATATCATCGTCGACTTGATTCGCGTTAGTCAATAACGGAATTGAATAAGTCGAATAACGAGAATTGACTTGAGAATACATATATTTTGAATATAAAGCGAATAAAACATAGCAAAGCAAAATGACACGCAGGGAAGATGGCTGGGAAGCCAACTCCATTTTAGTCAAGCGTTGCTCAATATTTATAGTCAGACAAAATTAAGCTACAGACATGTGATTAATAGGATAAGAAGGGCACACAGATATACGCTCATATAAAAACAGTCTAGGCTGATAAGCGAATAATTGACAAGGTCAAAATGTGACTCAAGTAAAATGAATAGAATGGGATGTCCGAAAGCTAGAATAAGGTATATGGGCTTAGCATAATAATTGACACTACAGTATTTATAAACCTTCTAGACCCCTCTTACTTCATGGATTTTGAAACGATGACATCAATCTACAGAATATACTGACTTAGCCGCTTTTTAAGATAAACCATCCTCTAATTGAGAAGCGTAAGTGCAACAAACTCAAG